TTTAATATTGATTCACCAAAGACTAACATATATAATAATTGATCAACATTAAGTACTTGAAAGATCGATAGAATAGCAACAGGATCGATTGCTACAAATAAACAATATCAATATTATAGAAATAGAAAAAAAAAACAAAACATTATTACCAGAATTCAATGCACCAATAATAAAACATTCTCTCCATGGTAATTCATATGACAGATTATATAATCCAAGTACATAAAGTCCAGCACCAGTAACAACTGCATTTATTGTTGTACCAAATATAGCAAATGTTAAAATAGTTCCAAGATTTCGAAAAAAATTTCCTTTATGTAAATGATAACCTTGTTCAAATATAATAGGTGGAAGAAAAAGTATAAAAAATAAATTTGAATTTATTAATGGTGTGGGTGCATGAACAATAGTTGTTGGTGATACCCATTGATTATAGATTTTAATTAATAAACCAAATAATCCACCAATAAAAATCACAGCAATACTTTCTGGTAAATAATTAATACGTTTACGAATTAAAAAATGTATAATTAATACACTGATTATTAATAATAAAAGTAAAAGACATATTTGTGTTGTTGATGTCAATTCCGACATCTTATTCAATATTTTTACTGATCAATGGTGATCACGATGTGTAACCATCCATACAAAAACCTTCGCTTTTTTTTTCTTCTTTTCGTTCTGTCGAAATATGTGCATGTGTATAATATTATAGTCATTATAGGAAGAAAAATAACCTTTTTCTCACTGCGAATATTTATTCATTCATTTGTTTCTTCATGGGACGTAGGAGTTGTATTTTGATGTTTAAAATGAGTAATAAGAAAGATATATGGAGAAAATAAATTACACGCAATAATATTTCGGACATGTATTTTTCTTTTGTTGATTTGAAACAATTAATTAGGTCAATATGACGAAGAAAAATAAAATATAAAAGGATCATAGTTTATCAATCAATTGCATTTATAATGTATGAATACATTGACTGATTCTCGAAGAGTCAGAAGAGCACATAAGAGGCGATACAATGGTTATGACAACTAAAAGAATTTGATTATCTTGTATTTGTTTATCATAAATATTATTATTAAAAATTGTTTTTTTTACTAGGGTTATATCCTGATAGATTTAAAAATAGATGTTTTTCTCTTTATATTTCAACCTTGTAGTATTTTATGTTCTTCTACTTATATGCATATATGTATGTATGTTATTATAAATAAATAACGAACAAAATTTTTGATTCTTGTTTGACTTTTTTTTTAATTCTTCGTTAATTTGAACTCTCGATCTATTCTATCATATACATATATTGTTTGGACACGTTTACTTTTACCGTATTATTTATCAAACGGTCAAATAGAGGTCTTATATATATGAAACGAGCAAATAAATATATTTTTTTTTCTCTTCTTTCTTTGCTTTTACTTTTCTTGCATGTATATCTAAGATTCTTCAATCAATGCTGAATAATTATATAATAGAACTATATTTGGTACATACATGTTACTAATAAAAATATACTCATATAACCTTACACTGCGTAATTGTGTTCGTAGACATATGCTTTAATCGCTGAAAAGAGTAAAAAATACGTATTTTTTTAAAAAATTATTGACGTCCAATGTGAATGAAGTAGAATCGCGATGTATAAGTAATATAGAATACATTAGTTAAATATTAGTCGTGAGAGAGAGAGTTTAGTTCGTCCTGTAGCATTTTCTGACATTTGTTTAATATTGATTCCAGAATTCAGATAAAATGATGGAATAACATGTCAAGTTTTGCTGGATATAAGGAGTGGGATTCAAAGATCATAGATCTTGAAAAGGAAGCAAGATTTAAATTCAACGATTCACTTTCTGTTCCTTTGCAATAAAAACCATCTGAACTCGATTAAATGATCAGTACTAACACATTGATTTACTTGGACATCTTACAATGTTCGATTTGAAAGTCATCGTGGTTTTACTGATTCGACCAAACGAAGATCTCCAACATTTTTATAAAACATCAGCATCATTCAAATCAAGGATACCTTTCACTAAAGCATCAGTTCATATAAGTCTATGGGTTTTTGAAGGCAAAGCACCAATCAATGGCAAACACGTAGAAGTTACTATTCATAATTTTAAATACACTAAAATATAATTATTGATCATTGATTAGAGTATTCTATTTCTGAGCAATAATTTGTTTATTTTATTTCACATTTTAACATCAAAATATTACAAGCATTTTCAAATTTATTCAAGTTTATATAACATTAAAATTCTATGTAGTTTTAGTTATTTATGATATTGTTGGTATTATCATATTTGATAGACGTCTTATTCTTTTCATAATAGATGTTTTAACAGGATCTGTAAACTGAAATAAGACGATTATGACACATAATAACGATAAATCTAAAAATACATAGGCAATTCGAAAATGATATTTTGGTGGCTCAGTAAACAATGATATGATAATAAGTGTTTGATATGGAGCACAAATTGTACTTAGTATTGCTACAAGTATAACTGTTCGACGAATCATTTTTAGTTCTCTTTGTGCACGAAATAAAATATTTACAGATACCACACGTTTACTTATTTTCTTCACATATAGAATTAATTTAATATAAATAAACATAATCACCAAGATTGGTATTATAAAAATACAAAATGACATATAAGTGATTGAAAAAGATAATTTCATAGGTATTTGGCAAATTTGATTGTCAACATTAAAGATGATTTCATCGCGTAACAGAAATTCCAAAGGATATGTGAAACCAATAATCCATGCTATAATGATAAGTAATATTTGACTTCGTACTGATTGATAAAATAAATAGTGCGGATAAACAGCCGTCATATATTGAAATAAAGCTTGTAATACAAATGAATAATTCACTATAGCACATACACTATACCCAATATAGCCACGGAGAACACAGAGAGAATCTTGATATTCAATTTGTTTGAGATCATTTTGAAGTGTAAACGTATTAAAACTAAGCACAGAAATTCCCATTACAAATACAGCTAAACATGAATTGGCATTTAACATTATTGGTACTGTATGACATGTTTTATCCACAACGATAGTCAACAAGAAAATTAATGCAAATATCATAGAAAAAATAATACAGAGTGTGGTGAAAATATCGACAGGAATAATCCATGATTCAATATTTATTGTTGTCCAATTATGAATAGATGTTCTTGATAATATGGAAAAAGTTAAATTCATTTCTGAAAAAATGAAGAAAGAGTATTAAGCTTTTATATCTATTTAAAAAAAGTCATGCGCAATATTCTAATGAAGAAAAACCTACACACTGAGCATCAATGAGAAACATGTTCGTTTGTAAATTTAGTAGTTTCTTGTTCTCTGCTCTTTGACAAAGTGTGTATTGTAATGGAAAATATTGAAGATTGCACCTTTTCAGATGTTAAACTAAAGAAATATATTAACAATGAATCGCTAATATAATATTTAAGATACTAATGTGGTTAAATTATTACTTTAAAATATACAGAATAAAAGAAATTTTCTCGTGAATAGTAAAATTAAGATTAAAAAGAGAAAATTTTGTTTGCATGTTTTTAAAGATTAGATAATTATATAGCTTCATTTTCCGTCACATTAACATCAGTATACATATCCTATATATCTTTATGTCGAGAAAGAATTTTCATGATGACAAAGCATAAAAAATGCATCATCATCTGTTTTTTATACTAGACTAAAGTTTGCAAAGTACATCAAGCCCCATTAGCATATCTACCCATAAAAAAGCTGTACAATACAATATTAACTTACCTACGATATATATCAGTCCGCATTTGTACAATCTATGCGAATAAAATTGATTATTTTATTAAGTGTGAAGAATCTGAATTTTATTTAAAAAGCATCTATGATATATATTGTCATTTGCACTATTGATGTGATTATCAGAAACTTTTAAAACTAGTTTTTCTATTTTTCTTTTCTTACATTTCCATTAATGCTGCTACATGGCATAATGCTTTTTATAGTTCATTTGAGGTTAATTGATTTGCATGATTACGTGCTTGTGATGCTGATAATGAAGTCAACAATGGAACCATGATATTTTGGTTTTCTTTTTCTTCTTCGGAGATTTTATGAATAGCATCTTCACAGGCATCGCTAATCAAATCTCTTTCTATTGATAATGCACAAACCATACTTCTAGCTGCTGGTGTTAAACATCTAAATATAAGGCGAGCAGCTATTCTATTACCAACAGCACGACCAAGTGAATTAAAACTTTCTTTAATATCGCGAGGCATTTCAGACATGATAAAATGAGTTTTAAATATTTAAATGTTTAACATATAATCTATGACTTTTTCTATAATAATTGGATGGCTGTACTCTCTAATAAATAATGATATCATTGAGAATTGAACGATTGTAGCAGTTCTATTATATGGTCCTATTAATATTTTCATTGACTCTAATACACAGAGTTAGAATATACTCTAAAATTCAATGAATTCTTTAGTATCATGTGTGACAAACAAGTTAAGAATTTTCATACAAATACTATGCGAAATGCTATAAATCGTGTAAATGGCTATATATATCTCATCAAACACTATCGGAGTATATAGACAGATAAATAAATCTCTATCGATTTGTCTATATATATGAGTTTAGTTTTATGAAGCACTATATTATTCATCATGTATTGAATAAGTGCATCACTTTTGATAAAGTACCAATAAATAAATAATAAATTGAAATGATGATATTCAAACTAGAAAACAATATCAGTACCAAAAATAGATCGATAATTTGACGTCAATTTGAGTGTGATATAAATATTTACATATATTTACAAAAGTATTAAGAGATTAAATTTTGAAAAAAAAATAGAATAACGAGAAATGTAGTTTGAAGAAAATAAAATACAAAAAGATATGATATCGTGGGAGGAGAAATAAAAAAAATAAAATGCTGCGATGTATTTGTGTTTTTTTTCTTACCATCAATATGTAATAGTAAAAAACTATAACAACATTAAAAATATACATATATAAATAAACATTCTATATATAGAATGATGTACTACTGTTAAAATTATATACATTATAATTAAATTATCTTTATTAAACATATATTTACATTATATATATAAATATACAAAATATCTGTAGATTGTTTGAATTCTAATGAATTAAAAAGGTCAAACATTGATAATGTGTATCAATTGCTTCCGAATAATATTTTATAGCATCATTATAATTGCGTATACGATCACAAAGATCTCCTATATTACGTAATGTTGTTACTGTACTCCACTGTGCTGAAAATGATGCATGATGATTGATACTAAGAGCTTGTTCATGAAGTTTAAATGCCATATCATAATTACATAAACGTGAATATGCAAGTCCTAAGTTACGATAACTTTGAGCAAGAAGTATATCATCAGCTGGTAAATATTGTTCTCTTATATTCAATGAATCTTCCAATAATTTAACAACTTCTACTTGCGTACCACAAACTAAATTAATAAACGCATAATTATTCATACAAGAAGCAACTTGTAATTTATCGAATGAATTTTTAACATCGATTTGACGATATATTTGTAAGACTCGTTCAGAATTATTCAAAATTTTCGTAATATCAGTTTGTTGCCATTGAACAAAACAATCAATATGTTGAATATATGCCCAGTCGATCGGTTTATAAGCTAACCATGATAATTTTTGTCGATCATCTAAATTGTTTGTACATGAATTTGAAGACATTTTGTATGGTATTGTTTGAAATTGTTCCATACATGTAAGATTTTCAGTTGTAGCTGTAAATTTACATAACCAGATATCGTTAGATGTATCTAATGTTAACTTATCAATTCGAAATTTACTACCAATATTAAATAGAACTTCAGATTCTCCACTAAAATTACTCATATGCATAATATCAGCAGCAATAACTTCAGATAAATTCAAGTCTACATTGATCTCCAATAATATTGATCGTGAATTTTCATTTTGTCCTTCAGATGGTGATGCAAATGCTAATGCAATACTCTTTTCTCGACTTGTTGACATAAAAGATTTAATAGCAATAACATGACCAACGAGATTTTGTAAAATATTTAATTCTTCATCAGATTGTCGAAAACCACGATATAAAACAGTTTTTTTCATCATTTTTGGTTGTTCATATTTTAATGCACGAATTTGTGTACTTAGATTGGAAATAAAAAGACGTAGTGAATAACATTTATCAATATCTCCACAGCGTAACGTATGATTTATCCATCGATAAACAAAAGATTCTTTTGTGTACCAAAGAATAGCATCTTCGGGTCGATAATTTTCTATGAAATTTCGAATATCTGTTAATGTATTATTATTGGCATAGAGTTGTAGACAAAAGTCAATCATTGCCGACTTAGCAAGTGCACTTTCATGTATCGTTGAAAATACAGTTTGTAATAGTTGCTTGTAATTATATACATTTGGTTGGAATAATTGAAATTGAATCGATAAATTTGATTTTGAATGAATATATTGTTTTGTTTCTATAACTTTATCGATTGTATAATAAGAATTGGTTGATTGTTTGCAACGATTCTTTTCAAAGTTCTCGACCTGTTCAGATGAGAGACTATGTCGAAAACGTTTTTCAACATAATTTTTTCTATATTCATAAGAACGTCTGACAAGCATTACACCCTTTAAAAGACCAGCATCTGTAATATTTCTCAATGGCGGTTTGTGCCATCAAATTTTTCTGTTTTTTTCTTTTCGATCGCTCCATGTTTTATATTACAATGGCACATGATCTAACGACACACTAATCTCAATATTTCTTATCGTATTACGACGCCACAAAAGTAATAAAAAATAAAAATAGATATGGTCCATAGTCCATTGCGTGGTTATTTATTGAAAAGCGGCGTAGTACTCACAACGCAATTATAGTACATTTTTCAATCGACATTTGTATCAAATGTACGTCATATCCAATCTACGAAAATGTCAAGCTATTGAGTATATAAAACACGTGTTTTTGCGTATTTTTGGTTATAAAAAACATTATTTCGTATAGTTGCGATGTGTTAAAACAAAGCATTCATACAAGGATGACTAATTCATTCATTATTTTCTATTATAGTTCAAATAATTATAATATATCGATACTTAATATATTATCGAATAAAAAAAAAGAACTGGAATTTGCAGATGTGTCCTTTTTCTAGAATTATTTTTTTTATATAATAAAAATAACACAAATAAAAATTGTTTATTTAATATGTCCTGGAATATGTTCTCAGTTTTGAATCGATGCAAAAACATTGTACTTGTTATTTGACTTTCTTTTACGCATATAATTGTTTATCATTGAGTCTTAAAAAGGTGACAATGTTAGTAAAATTCTTATTATATTTTACTAATTCATTTTTTTTATTCTATATGAAAATATATTTTCTTTCAGTGTAAAATAAAATATGTATTTTTTATTAATTTATTTATTTATTCCTATTGTCAATAATCTTGTGACAGTTGAAATTCATCGAAAATCAATTTATCAACCGTTTTCATCATGTTCTTTTATTCGTAATATTTCATGGTCGAACGATGTATCAATTCAATCATGTACATGGGAGTGTGTTCAAGAATATAATTGTCAAACAGCTGTGTATTATAATGATGCTAAAAATTGTTTATTATATGCTGATATATGTCAAACAAATTTCATACAATCATCTGGAAATATTTCAGCAAGTGTTATTTGTTTTCAAAAAACTCACAGTGATCAATATAATGTGGAAAAAAAATATGATATTAAATATTTTATTTTTTAGACACTCTTATTACTATGTGTTCAACAACTATGACAACAAATCAAATAGATACAGAGTCGTCATATACAAGCATGATGACCACGACAGAAGAAAGTATGTAGATAGATCTTGTTTTAAATATTCGTTTTTAGACAGCATTCAATTTGAAATATTTGATCTTGTCCTACGATAGAACGAGAAAAATTCTTTATTGACTTTAATATGTCTTACAAATAAATTATATCAAACCTGTATCTTTAATTTTAATGTATAATGCTTTATAAAAATTGAATAAAATTTTGCAACATTAAAAGAACATAAATTATTTATATTTTCTTTAACTTTTTTCAAATAGCATTATTATCAACCACTTTAACTACTACAGTTACACCTATCAATACTACGATCATAACAACAAATCCTGTCATATGTAAGAATCTTTTATTGTTTTTCCTCTCTTTTTTACAGTAACATGTACTTATAGATACAACAGAATCTTCTTATGTATGTGGTAACATGACAGTTCTTAAAGGAATCGATTTAGTTTCTGGATTTATGGATCTTCGTCAAGTTCATAGTTTTGCTGAATGTTGTACGTGGTGTCAATCTAATAGTAGTTGTGTTTCGTATACATGGAATATACCTACAAGCGCAGGATCTATTTCATGGTGTTATATAAAAGACCATGTTCCATCTTCTTCTAATAATCCATTAGTCATCAGTGCACATTACTAAAACAATTTCTAATTTAAATAATACAATATAAAACAAAGTTAAATAATGGACAGGTTAGAATAAATATTTACGCTTTACATAAGACTATTTTCTTTGTAGTTGCACTTTTCATGCTCGATTCTTTTATATATTTTATTTGGTTAATGAAATGTGCAGTGTGACCATTTAATCTGACTCATCCATTATTATATATTGTATTATTTTTTTCTCATTCTTTTACTTTGTTCACTACTTTTCGAAAAAATTGTTCTGTTGATGAATAACAAAACAAATAAATTCAAAAATAACAAAAAAAACTATTCTTTTCTATTTATATTACGATACAACGACAGATGAACAATTTTATGAAAGTTTTCAGTCATTAATGAATCACATCAATTGTAAATATTAATATGACCTTTCGTTTTAGTTTTAGTTTTTCTTTTTCATCTCTGCCTAAAGCTGTGAGGTCTGATCTTTCATTCAACTCTATATATTCTCATCTCCCAAAATAGTGAGGTATTTCTTTTTGAAGAGCCAAAATACTTTCGAAGATTAATTCTCAATAATAAATAATCATTAGTCAGTGATTCAAATTTGATAAATATTTTAAACTTTGTGAAATATTTTTTGATAATATAATATATTTTTTTGTTTATCGTCTCATACATATTTCTGGCAGTTGATTGATAGGCATTACTTTCAATATTAATCTAGATATTACAATAAGAAAAATAACGTCTAATAATAAGCTTACTCTTACTAAAATTATATGTCCATAAAATCAATATCTACATAAATAGTAAACAAACACACAACAGGTTATTCCATTCTTTTATTATAATATTTAATACTATAGTTTCTTCTATAGTTAATCTTGTATTTTACCAGGAAATAATATCTTTGCATTTCCACGATTGATACTTTGCCATAGATTTTCAAACTTATCGATTTTATTCTTTTGAAAAAATGAATCAAGACTTTTTGTAGTATCAATGACTGCAGGAAGAGGAGCATAAGGTACATCACTGCCGAATAGAATTTTACATGGATCAGCAAATTCCAATAATGCCATAAGTTGAGGTATACTCGATGATAAAGCTGTATCATAGTAGAATGAGCGAAAATCAGTTAAAATTTGGTGAGATTGACGTGAACATTGAAGAGATGGAATGCTACCTGCCATTGCTATACGTTGTGCAAGAAATGGAAGAGTACCTCCAGCATGTGAAAGAATAATTTTTACATTAGGAAATGCAGCACGTGTTCCAGTAAGAACAATATCAGATGCTGTTCGAGTTGTTTCTTGAGGATAATCAATTAATGGTTGTGGTAGATAACGATTAACCATAGGTGTTGGTGCTTCACTTGGATGAATAAAAACAACAGATTTCAATTCATTTAATTTAGTCCATATTGATCGAAATAATGGATGACCAAGATATTGACCAAGTCCATAGCTAGTAAATAATGTATATCCATCGGGTTTCATTGTTGAATGAACATATTCAATTTCATTTAGAGTACCTTCAACATCTGTTAATGGAGGAAGTGATGCAAAAAAACCAAATTGTTTAGAATTATTCTTTACTAAATCATTGGAAAATTCATTAAGCTTTCTTGCAAGAATTCTGCCTTTCTTTTTATCATTTTCATAAATCTTGGTACCAGGTGCAGTTATTGAAACAATAGCAGTTTCAATATTTAAATGAGACATATGTTCTTTAGCTTCTTCAACAGACCATTTTGGAGTTAACCATCCGCTTGGATCACCACCTGTTTCTTCCACTGCCTTAGCATAAAATTCAGGAATAATATGATGATGAGTATCAATACGACGAGGGTTTTTATTATTAGAGATATTATCAGTAGTCTTAGTTTTGTTTTCTAAAATAAAAATCTTGTCAATCATATCTTTCATGTTTGAAATAACTCATAGTCTTACCAATGGATTCTATATTCATATGAATTTTGGATGTTTGACAGACAATCGATGATATAATTGACTGTAATGGACGTTTAAATAGTGAATGTAATGAAAATGCCATTGAGAAATATCAAACAATAATATAGTTAATTAATTCAAATCTGAAAAGTTCAATACATTTTAATTTCGTTTGAGAATGATAAATGCAACATTCTAATTGTATAGCAAAACAAAACAATCGTTACCAGATACTACTCTTTCGATATAGAACAATACCTTTTTTTTTACAAAAACGAATTACATAATATATCGAATGAGTTTAAACAATAGAACTAAGCTCCTTGGTTATTTTAACAAACGAATACTTGAATAATTAATAGAGAGAACGTATCGATCAGTGACATCTACGAACAAACATCTGATTTTTGATCTTTATCGAAAGTATTTTACAATTGATTGTTTCACATACGAAACCTCAAGAATAATTTAAAGCTAGAAAAGTTTTCATTTATAAACATACAATCATTTGTGATTTATACTTATAATATCATTAAAATCTTAGCTGGAAGATGTTTAATACTTGCACGTATATATCTAATACGATGAATCTATAAGCTATACTCTATGAATCAGAAGTTCACAAGAATCTGTGTTTTACTGAGTCACTTTTAAATTATACAATGACAAATATGATATATATGTGTAAATGATATCTCTTTATTGTTTATTCGATTTAAACTATTTGTTATATTTACTTATTGTACTATAGGTTCAATCAAGAACAACACAGGAATCATAGCTTAACAGCATAACTTAAATCGAAAGTTAATGAGTGCCATCTTTTATTCAGAAAATAATACCGAAATGGTACACTATTTTTTTTTTGTTATAAATTAATGTAAGCATGAAGCAATAAAAAAAAAGACAAATGTTCGAAAATGTACTTTAAGTCTGTATTGTCTTCATTCATGGATGAAGTTTTGTTAATTAGTAATGTACAAACTTTTGCACTCGATAATTACCATAGTCAACTACGTATATATTGAGTTGACTGTCGAGAGCGAACGAAGATGGAGTATTAAGTAGTTGAGAAGTGTTACCTGATATACCCGTGACACCGATAATAGTTTGTCCACTCGATTGACCAGCTAAAAATAATTGTATTCTCTGATTACCTTCGTCAGACACATACATGTTGCCTGTTGGATCTAGTGTAACATCACTGGGATTATATAATAATGTCGATGTGCTGCCATACAAACCAGTACTACTTCCTGCGAGTAATGTCCAGCTAGTAGCACCCAATACCCAACGAACAATATTATGAGCAGCATTGTTTGCAATAATGAGACTGTTCGTTGATGATTCAAAATAAATACCTCTAGGATTATATAATTGTGAACTGTTCGTTCCTCCTCCATGACCACCAGCAACTACAGTACCTGATGTTGCGTTTGCTAAGTATTTCATGATTCGATGATTACCAGCGTCTGATATATAGAGCGTGCTCACGTTTATATCAATTGCTAGACCAATTGGAGATGATAGTTGATTGTTACCACTACCAGCACTACCTATAAGTATATTCATATATGGTTTTTCTTTATTCGAGAACTATTTTTAATAAGATTACTTACCATTACCGGCTACTAATGTTGCAGATGTTGCATTCATAGTCCAGTGAACGACTCTATGATTCCCTCCATCTACAATGAAAAGATTACCCTTTGCATCAAGTGCCAAATCACTTGGATAACTCAAATATTTTAATGTAATGCCTGTTGATGCATTAGATTGTCCTGCCACAGTGACACCAGTCGACGCATTTACCACCCATTTTTGAACTCGCTGGTTTGGTTGATCAGTAACATAAAGTGCTCTCGCCGAATCTAACACCAAACAAAATGGATGATTGAATTTATTGGCTGTTACACCTTGTACATCTGTAACTCCAGCAACCGTAATGCCTGATGTATTCCAGCTAGTCACAAAGCTAGTAGCTACAATAATGAATAAATGAAATCGTTTTATTTTTGTTCCATATTTAATTATGTATTCATTGATTTTTTACGAACGATTCTCACAGAGCAAAGAAGGAACATAGTTTAAAAAAATAGAAATCAATCTTAATTAGAATTGGAGAGAAAAAAAACATTTCTTTTTCTGTTCATTTTTTGAAACAAGTATCGTTCGCAACCAACGAGAAACAAGCGGACTTCTGTGCTTCTGAGGTACATAAAAGTACCGAGAAAGTACGCTTGTTCCCTCTTACTCGCAACTCTGATAGTTTTTTTTGAGCTGAAGTAAACATTTGAGTCTTTCTGGAATAAAAAAGTCTAAAATAGTAGTTACTTGGACTGATACTGGTAGCCATTGTACTGGTGGCCATATTCGTGGTTGGTGCGATTGCAGTAGAAGTTAAACTTGAAGTACCTATAAAAAATAATAAAAGTTATAAAAGACTATGTGATTATTATGTTACAATTATAGTGATGAATATATTTTCCTTATGCCTCAATTGATCGACTCATAGATGATAAACCGTTACTAACATGATTTTTCTCTCGATGAATCAACTAACATAAACAATTTTTTACTAGAGTTTTGATTCGAACGGTGGGAAAAATATAAAAGCTATTATATATGCAAAATTCATTTGGTATCAAATCTTCTTGATGAACTGAAGCAATGACCTGTAACTATTCTTTAGTACATATGATCATTGATATAATAAATAGGATTTTATTTCTTATTTGAAACTTTTTGTATTAACAATCACTTACTCGTGATTGCCACTGTTGATGTTGTAATCATTGTCGTTTGCGATAATATCGTTGTGTTTATCAAAGGTGGCAACGAGAAAAAATACAAATCATTTGTGGAATTCGATTGAATTGAATAGTTTGTTGTATAATTCGAATATAACAAACATAAATTTATATTTCTTAAACAATTGACAGCAACAAAAGTAGTTACTGCTGATCTCATTGCGTAGCATAGACATTCTTGACAACTATTCGTATAATAAAATGAGATTGGCAGACTAATATTTGAAGGTAATGGAGTATATATTTGATTCAATAATTTTCCAATTTGAATGCTAGAGCTTACAAGTATTGTATTGCAAGAAAGAACAATAAAAAATATTCTCCAACCAAGCATGATTACAGATTTATGTACTTGCAGTTTTATTTTTTCAAAATGTCAGCTTGAATGATTCTAGGAAACTAATGTCTCTATTTCTTTTATATATTCGCAGAAGAGCATTTATGCATAATGACAAAAAACAATTACATCATCAACATTAAGTGACAGATAAGTGTTAGTGCATTTTATTTTTGAATGAGAAATATTTTTTGCAAGTATATTAATTATGAAAAGAAAATGCATGACAATATCATTTAAAACAAATTCTTCTTGAAATTTTTATTCCGACGATTATTTTCATAAAAATTAAATGTACAAAAAGATACCTACTTTAATAATGTAATTTAGGATAATATAGTTATGATTTTCATATAGTTTCGATATTGCAGTATTTTTAACTATTATCATTATGTTTATCATTGTCGTTGTGAAAATAATATTTAAATAAATTTTGTTTTTATTTTCTAACTGATTTATATGTTGAAGGACATATACATCTGAGAAGAGTACTCTCATCGAACATGTAAATAATGATATCTAATTGCTTGCCAATAGATCCTCGAAAGAAATAGTTATTTATATTCGACTATAATATATTTTTTGAGCATTTTCGATTTCAATGAAAATAAAAAGCAAAGATCAATATATAAGTAATAATGTCAATTTCATAGAACTATATTATATTTTTACATCATTGCCAATATTGTACATAAGGATGTAAGTATGAGTAATGAATCGTAATCATTGAACACTGCGTATAACTCTGTTAATTTCTTACTGACACCTACATCCTTCAAGATACTCAATAAAAAAATTCTTAATGAACTATAAAAACAAAAAGTATGCTTTTATCATTGTTTATATATTATTATTCTTCCATATATGTAAAATAGAAAAGAAAAGAGAATCATGTTTTAGAAGCTGTTCAAGTAGTAAAAATAAAAGTATATTTGCAACTATTATTAAATAAACGATTCTTTTTTCTGACAATGTTGATAATAGTCACATGATACAAAATTCGCTAACAATTGCTGTCTATATCATAGTACTATGATATAAACATTACTAAAGCTAAGAGACAATCCAATCTTATAGATAAAAAAGACGTATTTGTTTTTCACTCGAGAATCAATTTTGAATGAAAAGGAACATATCTTTATTGGAATAGAATATTTGTCTTTTCTGTACTATTAGAAAATGTTTGTTTAAGAAAAATATATCGCTTTCTCCATCGAATATCCAGAAATAAGAAATTAACAAATTTTTCTGGAAAAAATAAGATGTCCTATATTTCTATGCACTCGATCGTTTTTTTTTCATTGACTCTTTAAAAATTAATAACATCTTTCTTCGCTTTTATTTGCAACAAAGTGAGCATTCTCGTTGAACAACACCCTCAAATATGTATTTCCCCGTAATCTACCTTTTTCTTCCTATAATTAATGCTCTTGTAATAAGTGAACTTCATCGATCTATGATTTACCGTCCTGTTTCTTTGTGTACCTTTATTCGTAATGCATCATTGCCAATTAATACATCCCTTCAATCATGCATTTGGGAATGTGTCTATGAAGATAGATGTCAAACGGCTGTTTATTTCAATGATGAAAACGTTTGTTCGATGTTTACCGAATCATGCAATCCAAATAGCATACAATCATCTGGAAATACTCGAGCAACTGTCATATGTTATGGGAAAAATCAAGGTAAACTTAATTTCTGTTCTAAAATTCTATTTATCTGTTTTCATTAGGATCTACAACCATTTGTTCATCTTCGATATCACCAAATCAAGCACAAACAGGTAAATCAATATTTTCTCTTATGTTGATAAGTATTGTGTAAAGTATGATGTTAAATTTAAGTTTAATCACTATTATTTTTGTGTTTTTGTTTTGCAAAATATGCTATCTTTAATAATAACCAAGTATAGTTAAAATACATTGTTTGCCATATAAAAATATTTTTCTACGTAGTCTTGTGGTAATCTATTAAAACATTGAAGCATTGTCTTTATGTAAGATCTGAATGACAATTAAAACCTTTTCATTTTTATTCCTTAATAGTCCTGTGCGAAAAATTCACTGGAGAAATCTCGCAATATCGCCATTAGAAATGTCTGTCACGGTCGGTTTTCAATTTTTTAACGCGATGAAAATAAAAAGAAGTTAGATTCTATATGAGTACATTGCTTTCAAATGCTTCACTATGTTGAAATTTCATAATTGATTACATAATTAAAGCTTTATGTTGTAAATAATATTTTTCATTCAATTAAATTTACTAATTAAATTCTGCACATTAAGCTTTTATATTTTAAATAATAATTTATTTTTATTATTGTAACAGCAACAACAACAACAGAATTAACAACAGTACCGGCAGCAACAACAGTAATGATGACAGCAATAGCAACATCGACTAGCACCTTGTGTCCAATTGTTAACTGTTCCGTTTTTCCATCTTTTCAAAATTTACCAGGTAAGGTTCAGGTAGAATCTCTCAATTTCAGTTGTAGTTCATCACTTGCCGATTTTTCTCTTATTCAAATGGTACAATGTAACCATGGCGAAACATATCAGAACCAAGGTCAAACTTTCTCGTCTAGAGTGATGAACATGAGTTTTGTGCAAAATCCATCAAACATCATTTTCACTTGGTATTCTTTGCCGGGTCAAATAGTAGATATACAAGGCTTTCCATACCAGACCCAAGGACAATTTAAATTTCAAGGAGGTGGCTCCGCTCGTATAACAACGAATGATATATGGTTCATGAAAGTTCGATCTATTTGCGGCAGCATATCCAATTATTCTGGCACGTTTTGATTTATGATTATATTTTCAAACAAGCGTTATGACTACTTGCTTCTCTTGCTCGAAAAATTCAAAAGATGTCCTATTCTTTTCTAATCGTTGAAATAAATTTATCTATAACCATTCTGCTATATCATCAAATATATCATTTATTTTCTGTTATATATCAATATATCTACATAAATAAATATAAATAAATAAGATGGACTATCTTTTGTCAAAATGCAAAACAGGAGTATTATCCGAAACAAATATTTTATTGAAACTAAACAGCTAATTGTAATATGCTTTTCGATCGTTTCAAAAATATATCACAATATTGTTGAAAAAGACTGAAACTGATTGATATTCAAAATAAAGTTTTTTATCTGTTCATCTCAGTCACTCATATTCGAATGCAATCATAAGTAATTATTGATAAATCAGACAGTGTAGATGTTGATGGTAAGATGAAAAAAATGAGATTAGATGATTACTTACACATCAACATTATAAATTATAAATTAAAAACAATAATTTTAGAATGACACATTTATTCTTTTAAAAAGACTGAAAAAGTAATAAATCAAATAAAAATAATTAGCACTTTAAAATTTTGATTTTTTTTTGTATAAAGTCTTGATTATCATATGGTCTAATTTGACAAAGATATCACAAAAAATGCTGAAATAAACACGCAATCAAATAACATATATATCATTACGCAAATAATCTATATAAAGATCGGTTTATTGTCGTTCGTAAAGATTCCGTTGGAATACCTTCGACTTCGTGTCTACAATTTGGACATGTATTTCTGTCTCGTAACGATCTCAACATACAATCATAATGAAATAAGTGAGCACCAGGACATGGCCAACGTGTATAAAATTCATTGATTTTCAGGTTTTCCTGACAAAGTGTACACATAATTTGATCGTTCATCATATTCATATTTACGACTTGTTGGTTATGTTCATGCTGGAAGCGAAATTGAGCAATAAATTGAGCTGTAGCTGGACTAGTAGGATCTGGCATAAGTAAATTTCTCACGTTTTCAGTAGTGCTTTGTCGCTCGATCTTAAAAAGTTGAATATTGTTTTCTTCATGGATTAACGTTGATAAATGACTGTTATGTGTGATTGTTGTATTTACGCGTGAACGTCGTTTACGATTATCTCTATGTTTAATATTATCAAACCTCAAAAATTGAGTTCCATGGCGCTGCTGCAGCGATTTGTTGTCTGATTCATGTCGAAGACGTTGTTCATGTCTAGAAAAAAAAGAATTTATATTCATGAGAAAGTGTGTTTGAAGAAAAATCAGTATTTTTCAGAATAACATTCTTCAGAATATTTAATAATCTACATCCTCCATTGTTGATGCGGATCATTATAATCTCTTACTTAACATAATAGGTTCATGAAATCAATGAATATCAATCATTTTATTTATTTATAAAGATAAACTTCAATTATTATTTGAATAAATAACAATATTTATTACATCATATAATCTATTTTGAATTGATAAGAAGAAAATAACTATCTGTTTTTGTAAAATAGGTCTTGTAGTAATGAATTAGAGAACGTGATCACTATCTAAAATAAGTTATCTTATAACAAATAATTTTCTAGGTGCTGATCTCGATTCTATACTCATTATAATTTATGTAAATACAAAGATTTATCTATGCATCTTTCTTCTCTTATATATTTTATCTCGTGAATGAATCAATCGAATTTTGTTTTACCGTTGCTTATAGACATCACTTATTTCTAATAGTTGATCATGTAGCCAATTCGCATAACCATTGTCATCCGTTGCTGTGACTGGCCATCGAATCCATGATGAATCTTTACCATAGCAAATTCCATTAACGTGTGTTATTTTTCGTATATCATTAACAGGACAAACAATAAATGGTGATGATTCATCATAAGGATTTAATCCTTCATTTGCATTCATTTTTAATATAACAACAAATAGCTGATCAGAATCATTTCTAATAATTACAAGATTTTTAGTATAGTTGCATGAACTCTTCTTAATAAGTCTATCTAATTCTAGTAATTGTTGATGTGGAGAACGATCTACATTTAATAGCCAAAGCTCTTCAATGATATCTGGAAATAATTTCAACGAGAGTGACCATATTCCAAGTGAATGAAAAAGTTTGAGCCTAATAATATTTGATGAATAAAGAATGAAATAAATTAAAGATTTGAGAAATAACCAAATGAATATTAAACCACAAAATAGAAATAAATAGAAAGAATAATAATTATCTGTCATATTTAGTGCTATATCATTTGATGTAAAGGTATGTTCACCTCTATCAGTGAAAGCTCTTTCATATAGGGGTCTATAGAGATATCCAATTAAAACTCCACATTTTGTTAATACTGCTTTATTAAATTCTGTCGAATTTTTTGCATATTCTTTATTAATATATTGAATATATTCCGATTTTTCAGTCCATGTTCGATATGTGTACGCTGAATTAAATGGTAGATTTCTTACGATGCATTGTAATGTTTGAATTGAATACGATTGAAAATGAATTGGATGATGTACATGAAAATATTTTTGTGAATTTGTAGGTAATTTAACATATATTGTAGGATGTTTAATCTTTTTATATGTAGCAATATGATTCTCACGTGTTCGTGGATTTGAATATCGTCGAATAGTATCATATTTACTTATTGAGTTTTGAATATTATCTTCATTTATTTCCACTTGAATATATTCAATTCTTCCAAATTGTGAAAAGAATGATTGATCACTTTTATATTGATTTACATATTGTACAAATTGTTTCTGATTGAAATGAAAAGGTCCAAAGACTACATTATAAACTTGTACATGTAATTGAAAGAAAAATGCACCGATTGCAGTCCATAATAAAAGAAAAATGAATGCATAAAGGAAATGTTCAATATATATACGTTGTTTTAATAGACGACGACGTATGTTTAGGCGATCAAGTGAATGTGTGATTGGATAATCAGAAATGGGATATAAACGACGATTTCGAAATGAATGTAAATAAAATGATTCTTGAGTTGTTGATGTCATGTTTTTACTATGTATAATACACAATGAATTGTTAACTTATACCTCTTTTTACACTTGAAATGATGAAAAAAAACATCTAGAATAGACAACTAGTGTAAGAAAATGATATAAAACTTCATAGCAACTGCCTATAAAATAATTTCTTTTTCTATTATTCATATAAAATCGCAACAAGTAAGAATAATTTTTTCGTTTCTTTATTTACAGAATGACTCTTTCTTCCTTGTTTTACTTGGAAAAAGCCAAGCGTATACATTTACCTGTGGATGAATCATCGTCCAATGCAGGTAACAGTCATGTTGATATATTGATGAAACCAACATATATTCAGTCGATTTCTCAAAAGTTCACAGAATAATACGGCTATAAAATATATCCTAAGTTGACTAGATGTAGGTGTCGCGAAAATGACGAATCCAGTAAGTAAAAAGCGAAAACTATGATATTATCACATTTTCTTCATTATCATTCGTACTTATCTACACGTTCACATTCATATTGGTTGATGTATTTAGATAAATAATAAAATATGTTCAAGTCAACTTGATGAATTCAAATAAAGTTCGAAAGTTGTGCTTGATAGAATTTTATCTCGATATGATTCTACTGCTTCCCACCAAATAGTAATAGATATAATTTAATACTTTGATTTCAGTCGACAAGTAAAAGCTACAGAGTCAACTGTAACTTGAATTTTAGAACCCTATTGTCCATATATAAATATTGACGATTTTTCAATAATTTATATGAAAGAGTCTGTCTATTAAAATTATAACTATAATTGATTTCGTAAAACATGACTAATTGTATTCATTTTCTAATAGAGATATAGACTCTTCTAGATTAATCATAGATTCAGTATGATTCATAGATTATAAATGTTTCGAAAGAATGAGAATAGTTATAACATAACTGATAGTGATTTATTAGCGCTACTTTTTGTATCATAAATTTTTTTTTATCTTAACTACACATTGTCTGTATGACCTACGTTACAATTCATTTCAATCCGATCGTATATTTTACCTGAGAAAGATAAATAATCAGTAATACGTACTTCTATTCTTTCACTAATATAGGTGTTGCTCTGGCAAACTAATGTTGTCATCAGTCTGCATATTTTCGTCATCGCAACATGTGTGATCAGAGATTATGATTTTACCTCTAAGTAAGTTTTAATAAGTAACTTGCCTTTCAAAACATGCAGCATGACATCTGGTTTGTCTTTACATATACCGCATTGATGAAATGAGAAGAAAAGGATTGATCCAGTTATGATGTCACCTATTTCTCAATCTTCATTCTCTCACCTTCTGTTGATTATAGAATTATTACAATCTTCTCTTAGTAAATCATTTTACTTGATGAATATACCTTTAATATACTCACGTATTTACTTTATCTATTGATACTGTAAGATCTTATTCCATATAAAATATGGTAAATTTGAATGTGGGGTAATATAAGTTTGAAATTTTTTGTCAAAGCTATAAAATTTTATTTACTATTCTCAAGATTCTTTGAGGTACGTGATTGTTTTCAACATTTCATAACTACCGATCGATAATATAATGAGACATAATGATTTGTATGTTTAAAGAATTTATTTTGAATAGATTGATAAATATAATTATATGATATGGAAACTATGAGAAGAAAATTTTAAAATTATAATTATTATTATCAATTAATTACAAATATTTTGTGTCATTTAACTTAACAATATATGAAAGTATGTCAAATATTGAAAATTGCAATGATAGAATTCTCAAGAGTAGCTGTTGTTTATCTCTTAACAATCTGATTAAAAAGTAGTTTTGTTATTTGTACGTATGTGTTTAATTAGAAATCAGAAACGCGATTGATCTGATTTGTTCAACTAAGAGCTATTATATAAGAATTAGATGCATTAAAATTTTGAGTTTTATATTAAAAAAAAACTATATATAAACGAGAAGTGTGCTCCAAACTTTATGTTGTAATATTAAAATAGATTTACAGTAGAAAGTGTAAAGACAAAACAGGTATTGTGCTCACATCTATGCCAGTAAAGTTACTTTTACAAGTTCTCAAAAGGTAAAGGATCAAAACTGATTATATACATGTTGCGATGACGAACTTGTGTGGATTAGTTAGACAATACTGATCTGCCAGAGCAACATTTTTTTCGATATTGTTAAAGTATAATTTACAATCAACAAAAACTAAAATGTTGCATAAATATGAAATCGATACCAATGAACAATTATTGTAAGTTGTTTACTCACCGTTGTAGACGATACTATTATACTCTACAACACAAAACAATACGTTTTTTTCAAAAGAAATATTAATATAACAGTTATTGTAACTATCGATTTTAATAACGAGATACAAGTCATTTTTAAAATAATACGTACGAATCACAACGCATTTTTTTAATCTTTTTAAACTGAATAAACTCGATTGTTTTTCTTTCGCGTGATCTTCTATCAAGTTTATACTGAACAACACATGAATATTATCAAAGTTTACTGCTCTATTCAAAATATACAAGCTACATTTTGCCAAAAAAATTTTTAGATCTTGTTTTTATTAATAACTCTATGAAAACTAACAAAGAAAAATGCAAAAATGAATACTTATTATGATATCTTATAAAATCTAAAAAGGTGAAAGAAGAATTTGATTTAAAAAGTATAAACTTCATATCCGAACTTAGCTCAGTTGGCAGAGCGGTAGGCTGTAATGGACATTTATCATAGTAACCTATAGGTCCCCAGTTCAAATCTGGGAGTTCGGATTTGAAATTTTTTTTTCTTTCTTATCAAATATTATTAAATTAACTAAGATCTTTATCAAGAAAACAAATATTTTCATAATTTTTTCAATAAAGATATTCGTATTGTAATTTAAAATGAGGGTATGGGTGTACATGAGAATGTAGATAACTATTCAACATTCATTTACACCCACACCCTTAAGTATCAAACGATATCTATCTATACATTGTAACCTTTTGTCAATAAACACAAGTTCAAGCTTAATTATACAACAAATAAAGCAATGATTTTATTTGAAAAAAAAAATAATATGTTGATTAAATCAAGTTAAACAAAAGCAACACAATAATAAATATGAATCTAATCCGAGTTCAAAATATAATAATTGAAAATTAGTATAATTAAACACCAGCTCTTTTTAATTTTAATAATTCTTTTTTTTGATCGACATAAATCTAAAATAGTAGAGAAAGAAATAATTTTTAAATGAAAATAAATTATTATATTGCAATATACTCGATCGATTGCTTCTAATAATTGATCGATTTTATCAGGAAAATTTTCAATTGGATCAACATATTGAGAACGCATTCGAGAGTCTTGTATTTCATAAATTTCTTCAACATTTGGTCTTCGCAAATCTAAAATATCAATAAAGAATTTTTATTTAAAATTATTAAATAATTTTTACGTGTCCAATTTAAAAATTTCTTTAACATATAGAATAAAATTTGTTGACCTTCAATCGGAGTTTCTTCAACATGATGAAAACCATCATTAAGTATTGAAATAAACATACTTAAACATATAAAAACAACAATAATAATAAAAATTGAAAAACAAAATGGACCAAGAAATGGATCAGCTCCAGTAAAATCAGTTGCATCAAAACTCATCAATGTTATTTCAAATAACATTTGAGCTGTTGATAATAAACTTGAACATGATTCAATACTTGAAGTAAATAATAAATAAAATAATGAAAGAAAAGCCATAAATACAATTGAAAACATAAATGAAAATGAAATAATATCTTTTGTAACATATTTAAGTGTTTGAACAAATATTATTAATGATTTATTGAAACGAATAAATTTAATAAATTTAATTGTTCCAAAAAAACAACAAAAACCAAGAAGAGATGTTAAAACATCATCAACATAAACTGTCATTTGTAAATTAATATAAACATATCCATTTGTTTGTTGAAAAAGTGAACTTAAACGACTATATTCTTTAAAACGCCAAATATAAATAATAATACTTGTAATTGAACAACTTATTATACCAATTTGAATTATTGACCAAAATTCATAAAAATATTTTAATTTTAATTTAATTAATAATTTTATTTCAATAATAAGAAAATAAATAATAAAACATATATAAATAATTGTACAAATCAATTGTGTTAATGATGTAAATACTAAATTAAAATAAAACTGTCAATGTAAAATCAGTAGTTTAGAAAAAAGTCACGTACCGTAGAAATTAAGTGGTTCAAAACGAGCTGATGGATAAACTCCACTTGCAGATAAAAATTCCAGAAGAAAAGTTACAGAAGTATATAATGCAACATTTGGATTGTATAAAGTTAATTGAATAATAACAGCTCTTGTGTTAGCATCAATCCATTGTAATTGATGAAGTAAAGATAAATTACTTTTAATATCAGATAAACGACCACGAAATTCATATACATAACCATCTCCACTATACGTTCCATAATCACCTACATAAGCATACGTATCTAATTCTTTACTTGATTGATATTGAAATGCTTTTAAAATTGATGAACTATAATCTCTTTCTGCTTCTATTGATGTTCGATTCAATGTCCATCCTGGTTGAAATGAATCTTTTTCTTCATTAAATAAACTATAATCTTCAATACATGTTGATATTATACGTTGATCAGAACATAATTGTGATTTACTACGTAGTTGTCTCATTGTTGCCCACCCAATCATTCGATTTGTTTTATCATTTATATATCCATTTAAATTTACTGGTTGATCATCATTATACCATTGTTGAGCACGAATATTTGAAATAAAACTATTATTTAACCAATTCCAATAATCATCAATTGTTAAAATCTACGAATATTCATTGTTATATAGAACAAAAAAACAAACAAAATATACTTGTGTATAATCACAATCTGGTTGTCTTGTATTTAGAAAATATTTTTGTAAATGATCAGTTTGATAAAAACTATTCTGTGTAAGATTTGAAAAACTGATTATACAAAGTAAGATTAAAAATATAGCATAAATCATAAATTCTCGAATAATTGACCACATTTGAATTTCTTTTAAGCGT